TGTTGTAGACTCGATCTCGTAGCTCATCAAGGTAGATAGCAGGCTCTCCCTCAATTACTGATCGCACGAAGTTCATATCCTGCATGTCCAGAGTGCGCGGCCGGCCTCGAGGTCTAGCATTCGGGTTGATGACTGTGCCGTATTCCGTGTACTAGTAGAGTCGGAGAACTTCGAAGACTGTGCTTATGCTGCATCCCGCAAGCTCAGAAATCACTCAGAGTGTCTTGTTTTGCTCATGGCGCCAGACAATGATACGTTCACGTAGTTGTCGAGTGAGGTGAACCATGGTACCAGCCAGTCGATACTTCAAGTTCGAGACGTCGATGAATGCTATCTGACAGTCACGCAGTCACAAGAAGCCATCTCGCATTACTGCATATGGGTATATTTGGCTCGAACAAACAATGCTCACGGAAACCCGATTTTCGGTTTCATATGCAAACGACTGTAGGAATCCCATTATCCCAATGCCATATTTGGTAACGCCATAGCCGCGGACCTAACGAAGCGCTCCGAACACAGTGGCCTCTCGTTCTTCACAGCTCCATCCCTGGAGGCGACGACCTCAGGAATTTATTCACTTCAGCTGTCCTCTGGGTGCATTAATCGAGGCTTCACTTGGGTCGACCTGGCTGCATGATGGTAGGCTATACGGATGCAAGTTGATACTTCCTGGAATGCATTACAGTGTATGCAGTTGGCCTCCTATGTCGTCATCCAGTCACAAACTCGGAGCCGACTCCGCGGTCAAGATCTACCACTGTACCAGGCTTTTAATTGTCATCGCAGCTGTTTGCAAAACGATAGAGCCAGTTGAGTATTTTTGTGCGTGGGGCGCCGCCCCAAGTCTAACCAAAGCCGGTAAACGGTGCACTACTACATACCAACAGGCAGGGTGCTAAGGGTCTCGAAAGGGCAGTTGACTGCCTTCCGACTGCTCTCTCAGCCTCTCTGTACCGTTTCCGGTGATTTTGCGGTTGTTTGTCCTTGGAGTGGCCTGTATGAGTGAAAATCCAGACTGGCTCTATCGTTTTGCAAACAGCTGTGACAGCCCATTTGGTCTGTATGTTATGACGGTTCCGCATTTGGTTAGCACCCCTTCAAATATGAACTTTCTGCTAGGGACTACAAAGTCCGGACTAGTGCTTATGTCGCACCTACTATATATCGTCTACGTCGTGACAACTCAATCCACACCGGCAGGCATGCGCGCGGAATATCCAAGACAGGCGCGATGACCACCATATCTGACAGCCAAATCGTCACCACATCGAATATCAACCAACGAGATCTAGTAAGGGCAAGCACATTCTCTATATACTTTTTGACCGTTCTGATTTTATGCGTTGTGGATGACCCATGGATAACTACACCCTTGCTGTTGTGCTTCCCCGAGGGAAGCAAGAACTTCGGCTGAGAAGAGTACCAGCACCACAAGATCCAAGATAGATCCAGATGAGTGCTCTGGGTTCGAGGCGATGACGTACGACTCTTTTCCAGCACGAATATAGTATGACGGTGATGTGCATCAAGGGCAGAATATCTGCTTTAAGCCAGATCTGGTGCCTAGAGAAATGCTTTTTGGACTTCGTCCGCCTGTAAGCTTGTGCCATAGGGTTCTACTAGCCATTAAAAGTACACAAGATGCAGGATACGGCTCTTTTGCTGAAGTAACCGGGGAGGAAAACGAAGGGTACGTTCTCTCATCTGGTCATTTCGTAAAGGATTCCACTTCTACAGATATCACTGGAACACTACATTCGTGCTTTGTCATCCCCCAATCCTGCACGTCCAATTTTGCCCGACGGGCGGAATGGACAGCAGATACATGACGCTGACCTGTCTTGGCGGCCTCTGCGCCTGTCTAACTATCATCCAAGGTTTATCGACAGGAATATTCTATTGCATTTTGATAATCAAGAGGTGTCATAGTTCCCACAAGAATCAACTTAGCAGAGGGTACACTCAGATATCCGCTTCAAGCATCGCTGCAACCATCCAGCGTATAGGCGCGCAGAGTCTGAGATCTACAAGGCCGAATACAATGAACGATGCGGCATTAGGCGGAACATGCCGATATCCTCAGGCACGTGCATCTGGCATGTCGAATGAATGTCTACCAAGGCGGGAGTTCGACACTCCATCAAGGCAACGTCCATTCGAGCGTCAAGCTTATGTCCCAGGTTCATATAAGGCTTGGTGTGAAGTCAGCGATGCAGGGTGTTATTGCCCCTCCCAGTCACCAACGCTATCCCGGCGTTCACTACCATGTCGAACCCAAAGACTGCGACGTACTTGAAGAACGAGGGTAATGCATTATATGTACGGGGAGATTATGAAAGAGCGTACCGTAAGTATACGGAAGCCATAGCTTTGGACGGTAAGGTCGCCGTCTTCTATTCAAACCGGGCGGCCTGTTGCTTGAACATGAAGAGGTGAGTCTTGGAATCTCGTATTCAGTTCCGCTGTAACTAATTTAGAGTGTTCATTTTACAGATATATTGACGCTGCGAATGACGCAAAGAAAGTGGGTCGTATTCCTCCGCGTACAATGAAAGCGCTGAACTGGATCGGTTAGGCAACTGAAGTTGACCCATCGTTTGCTGATGGTTGGACGCGTCTCGCAGCTGCAATGATAGTACGTTCGGTGGCAATAATCGAAGTCCATACTCTCTGATTCCGTGCCTGCAGGTCCTGGCAAAATTCCCATGCAGTACCAGTTCTTGGAAAAGGGCGGTTGCCACTCTGAACAAGGATAATCTGACCTTGCGACAACGGGAGGATTACGAGTCGTGGCTTAGCAGTACGAGATCAGAGTGGGACAAAATCATCGCGAAGAAGAAGATCGTTCTCTCCAGTCTCAGCGTATCCAAAGGAGGTTTCCCTTGGGACAGAGCTTTGGCGCTGCAGCCAGATCTTGCTAGACTGGGATCTGAGAAGCATGCAAGCAGTGTACGTGAACACCAACTTCAGTAGAATTAAATGAAACCGACTCTCATGTTAGGCATGGGTTATCAGCGGCGCGAGTCATGTAGGTTCTCCTGACACACGGGGAACTTTTGCTTACCTATGCTTGGCTAGGAATTTCGCGAAGGTGTAAGAATTATGCGATTATTGCCCAAAGTCGCTGCTGAAGGACCCGCGGAGTATATGGCCATGCCAAATGTGTGACATCTTCTTTACTCCTGCTTCAACCTGATAGCATCTCGCGCTTTCTCTAGGCCTTGGACTGTCTTGTTAGCGGTATCTTACGCGACGATCGTGTCTTCTACATAGACGACTCGAGCTGGCTGGCCGAGTTCAATCAGTTAGGTGAGAGACTTACGCTGGCTTACATGGGTCACTTTCAATGACAGTTTGTCAGTCACCTTCGAGACGGAGATGTACCAAGCTCGGTCATCTGAACTCTCGGCAGTGGTAATGGAGGAAGCTTACAAGCGCTGGCGGAAATCGGGTTGGGATGCTGTTCGTCCATCACTAGCCAAGACTGTTCGGTAAGCTGACGCTCGACTCTAAAGAGTGCCAAAATAACAGAGTTACTAGGCTCTGGATAATTCGAGGCTTCGTAGAGGGTATGATGCACCAAGATCACAGCCTCGCCACGGAGTTCATTGGTCGAGCCCTGGACACGCTAGACTGGGGTCGTCGGACATGGCCTGATGTATCCGAAGCTGACAAAGGGGTGGTGTTTTCCCATACGTTCACTCGAGGCGTGCGATCGTTATACCTAGAGAGTCTCATGAAGGTTGGTGGGATCATACCTACCCTGATGCGAGCGCTGAACAGGAGTGAAGGCATTCGTGGATCATTATGGAGAGTACTCAGCAGAGTCCCTGACCGTCCTCTACGAAACGGCCGAGGAGATCCTTCGCGACTTGGAGATACATCCTTTGGTTCGGGATAACATCAAAGACTACGATCGAGGATTCGAGTCATCTTTCACCGTGTACCCTCGCGGCCGTGCCCTTCAGTGCGTCTCACTCCTTATCATCCCTGTATCGATTAGTAACTAAGTGGATCTGAAAAGTGCTAAAGCCTTCTATTACCGGCAATTGGCTTCGGTCTTAGAAAACGCGACAATGCAACAGCGGGAAGGTCATCGTCTACAGGCAGCTAAGATATACCTCGAAGCTGCCGACTGTTACCCTGTCGATGATGAGAACCATGTCTGTGAGTGAACTCTTGCTTATTAGGGGCGTGATGTTGAGTCTCACCGTTGTTTTTCAATAGGGATGCTAAAGTGCGCTGTCGAAGACCTCCGTCTCTGCGGCTTACAGCACGGCCAGATCGCGGGAATTCTGAAACGCATTAAGTCTGCAATACCCAAGATGAAACGTATCTGGGAGTACTCTACATTGGCACTGAATGGCAGGAATAGCGCGATAGGTCAAGTCCTGGACATGGAACGAAGTGCCTAAGACTTGCTACCTTTGTCCGGACACCTTGTGCCACCTTTTAATATCTTCTATCCTTTAATCGGATCGCCCTGGGCCCTGGGCTCGTCCAGGGAACCAGTGGTACTATTCTGTAGTCAGCAATCTTGTAGCATATGTAGCTGGATTCCGTGCTCTGAGCTGATTATTCGTACACTAGTGAACGTCCACGTACAGATAGACAGTAATAATTGGTCCCTTGTTGGACGTTTTCCGAACGCTAAACTGTGGCGCGGCGGGACCTGTATTCCGAGGTTCCCACAGTCTACAGAGTTCAACAGGTTCGTAAATCGTTCATGATCAGCAATATCCTCTGGAAATCTGGTGTACAAGGGCCAGGGTCATTGGAATATCGTCTCGCAGACTGCTGTAACCTGTAACCTGTGCACTTGTATTGGCATGACCTGAGTCGATGTATGGCGGAGACACTACTGGCGTTATTGCTTGTCACCTCCTCCGCGAAGGGCTCAAATCTGGTCTACCATTGGCCTGAAGCTCCCAGATCGCTTCCAAGACTTGCAAGGCCCAGACCGTCAGTAGGAGCAACATTGTTGTCGCAGCTGGACAATCCTTGCAGGGCAATCGAACTCGGTGCTCCCGAACGCAGAAGCCGCTTCTCAACCGCCAGGCCCTCTTCAACTGAGGACAACGATTATGAATGGAAACGGCCCCGTTCCTCCCGCAAGCGATCGACGTCCTTCTCCCGGACAGGCTCTGTCCCTGCTTCCGGCAGAAACTCGCCAGTGAAAGAGGGCGGCTACGATCCAGAAACTCAGGCAAGCCTTGCTCTCGCAGAAGATTATGATGACCTCTTCGGGTATTCGGCCGAGTTCCTCGCAGGGATACTCTGTCCACAACGCTCTTTATGCCACCAGAAGTTCGAGCTTGTGGTCGACGATCTGGCCTTTATAGGGCATCCCGTCTGCACTGAAGATGATGGAGTCTGGCGCTTCAAGGCTGAACAGCGTACCAAGCTGAGCTCCAGAGGAAGGGATCCTAAAATTAAAGAGACATCACCGGTGGTTGATTCGCCGACAAACTCACCCAGAGTACGGCCGAAGCAGGAGGTCGAGACATCTGGGGAGAATTCATGGCTCCGAACATTCCACTTCGTCATCGTCCTTGACCTTCCGGACCCATCATCTTCAGCGTCGGGAAATGTTCTAAAGTATTTTGACATCATTTACGAGCAGATCGCTTTCGCAGTTACCGCGGTGTTGTTCCAGCAACAAGTGACGGTAAACTTCGTAGAACGGGAGTGCGATGTGCTTGGTTCCTTGAAAGAAGAGTACATCCGCAAAGGTGAAGCCGTTTAATATAACCATCTCCCGTCCAATTACCCATGATAATCAGGTGAACCGTACATGAAGTACATGAGGGCAGCGCTCGATGTGTCATCTATCGCTCCTGCCATGAAAACGATATACGAAGCAGTTAAGGGTTCTTCTATCGCGCAAATCTCTATCGACAACCTGTCGTTGGAGCTGCAGCTACCGCCCTATCTGGATAAGCTCCTCCATAGTCAGGAAGAAGCTGACCTCGATTACATTGATCGTGACGAGGAGGAGGGCGAGGGTGCCTGGGGGAAGGACATGTCGTTCGCCTGGAGACTGCCAACTTTGTCCCCCTGGAAAGCCCTCCTTTTACTTGGGGAAGATGACTCGGGGATGGATCTGTATGGGAACCTGCGAGGTCCCCATCAAAGTTCCGAAGAAAGAAGACTAGCGCAGAGTCTCATGAGATTCCTCGAACTCGCTTCTGTTCGGCTTCAGTGAGTGCCTTCTAACAATTGCTGGTCCGGTGCTTTGACAGGTCGCAGACTAGCAGACATGGCAATCGAACTGGACTGGGACCTCGAGACGCAGGTGTACCCGGTCGTCCGGTGGCTGGTCTACCACAGACGCGCGAAGGTTGTCGATGTAGTCCACGAAGGGCTCAAGACAGTCTTCACTATTTCTCCGAGCTTCAAGTCGCCGTAAGCTATTACTTCTTTTCCGCAAGGCGTATCTCACCACCCCCATATAGCCTGACAACCCTAACTCAAGAGTTCGCGCAGCAGTTCCCGCCGAGTATACCCTCCCTGCCCGTGATCCTCTCGCTCATCTCCGGATCCACGTACCAGCAGACCGACAACACCTTCTTCGCCGCCGTCGTGCGCGACAAGGAGCTCGTCCCGGCGTATCACGCCGTTGTCGAGTGGATGCTCAAGAAGGAACTGCTGGTCACCATGCACCTGCGCATCCGCGTCGTCGCCACGCCCGCGCTGAAGAAGCAGGTGCGCGAACTGTGGTTGAGCCGCCGCAAGAACGCGGGGCAGATAATCCCAGGGACAGGGCGCCGGTCGATGGGCGGCTCGGGCCCCGTGCACGTCGAGCTGGACGCGCTGGCGCATGCGTCCCCGCCGGCGGCGTTCTTGTCGATGTCGCCGCGGAGCGTCCGGCGGCGGGTGCTGAACTCGGCTGACTTGACTGGATCGGCGCTGGACAGCGAGGACGAGGGGAGGGAAGAGGACGATGGGGCTTGCGGCGAGGATATGGAGTTCCCGGAGGATTATGCTGATTTTAACGATGAGGAGCCTTCGCTTATAGATGATCCCGGGACTGCCAGGCCGATAGAACGGTGTTGGCTGGCGGCTATGGGGGAAGGGAAGGATTATACGGTGCGAAGACGGTTTGAGCAGTGAGTATCTGCCTGTCGTGAAGCTGTTCCCGGCGGTGACGGCGAAATACTAGGATAAACCAGTATTTCGACGGGAAGAAGACGGATGACGAGATATTATTCCGAGCGGATATTTCGAGAAAGCAGCTCAGAGAAGTGCTGCATCATTACGATGAATACGTACGTATCTTGCCGTCATTGATCGGGAGACTTCTTGATATAGTGTTCTCAGTTACAAACGTTCCTGCATCCGTCTTGACCTCAGCACACATACCATATCATGTAAAGGTGTCTACTCAGGTGCATGTCTCCAATCAAGTAACCTGCCGGCCTTGCTACAGTCGAAGAACCCCATACTGCCCTTCAGACTCCACCCTTCCCTAACAGGCACATCAGGCCAATACCTGTCCTTGAACTCCTGCGACTCTGCCTGCTCGCGCGTGCCCCGTCTTTGCGACGCTGCTATAAGGAATACCTCGTGCCCGGACCATTTGCCGTCGTTCTCGGGCGATATCGCAAGCATGAACGCTCGGGCGCCCTCGTCTTCTTGGACGTAGCCCCAGAGGTCCTTCGCGGACCGCTCGGGGTTGCCGGTGAATTCGACTCGGTCGGGGTAGGCGCGGGAGGGGATGGACCAGTGCAGGCGGAGGGAGGCGATGCGGGTTTCTGGGTATCGGCGGAGGATGGTATCTGCCTGCATCTCGCATATGCTGGAGATTGCGTTTTTACAGTTGGCATAGGTAAACTCGATTCTTGCGGGATGCCGCACTCACAGCTTTGACAAGCCGTACTGCTCGTCGGGTTCGCACGGGTGGGACTCGTCTATGGGAAATTGACGGAAACGGCTCGTCGCGTTGTAGATCATTCCAATGGCATTGACGGAAGACGCTTGCGCGATCCGTCTGATGCCGAGTTGGGCCGCTGCTTGCAGTACGTTCCACGTTATAACGACGTTCCTGTGAGATCAGGTGTTGGTACATATCGCTCATCGAAATGGGCGTGAGTAGCTGGTGAGCCTACGTATTGTGCGTGATCGCAGGATCATCTTCCTTGGGATTTGGTTGCCCCGCGAGCTGGATGACGGCGTCGCATCCCCGCAGGGCCTCCACTACTTGGTCGTACTCACGAACATCGATCTGGTGGTACGTGAAGGCGACGTGCGCAGTGAAGTTGAGCTCTGGTTCGGTGGGCGGGGCGGGCGGGGGTGGGTGGGCGTCGATGCCCACGACGGCGTGCCCTTGCTTGAGGGCGAGGAGGACGACGCGCCGGCCGACGCCACCACTGCTGCCTGTGACGGCTATCTTCATGGGTGGTGAAGCTCAAGCTCGAGGCGTGAAGGACTGATAACGAGATAGCCAGCTAGAACGACGTCACTCATTCGAGCGCGATGGGAGGTCCGATGACCCGACTCGGTGTCCGAGTATAAGCCGTAGATAGCAGTACATTCGGCGTCATAATTTACCAGATACTGGACCTCTGAAGGATACGAGGTACATACCTGAGTCGCAGTAGACTGCCCACTCCAAAGTTCAGATGGACTGTCTGTTGGGGTAAGAGCACATAGTACCATTCAATTGTGCGTCCACAGCCACCGCGTCGACATTGGGATCGGGATTGACTATCAATGCTCAATACATGTTAACTTGCAACCAATGCCATCTCACACGACTCTCGATACTGGGATGCGAATTCCGAGTATTGCTCCACGCGGCGGTCAGCTGGGAACCTGTACTGGCATCGACCAGTTTCGAAACGACAAGATTGCAGGTGTGGTAATCCAACTTGCGCTTCTGTGGCAGCTCGGATATCTATTGTCCGAATACGTTGATGTTGAACATCCACCGGAACGTCGTCAGCGGGAATACGGTAGCGGGCGTCAACATTTATCGCACCCATCCAAACCTCCCTTTCAAAGATGACGCTGTTGGTTAACAGCTTCGAGACTACTGGCCTTGACGATGGCTTCTGCTATCTGCAATCCTTGGGGGTTCTGCTCTTTGAGTAGTCTTCATTCGAGGAGACCGGGACAAATACGTACCCGAAAAGGTGACGACGTACGTATTTGTCCCAGTGCTCTCTTGGGGATGGCATATCTAAGTTGAACAGCCGCAGTGACATGCTCTTCGTGGCTTACGGCTGCTCTCTTCACAGTCGTCGCTCGTTTGGGATACAAAGCCGGGCTTTTGGTTCCAAGTCGATCTGTATGACCGTTTTCCATCGCTTGGCTTAGGTCGAACACTCGGGAGATCGACTAACCTTTGGTCCACGAGAGGGGATTAAAAGGCACGAAAGGCTCATCAGTATGGCGAGTTCGTTCGTGCCCGCAACTTGGAGCCGCCGCGAGTGTCTATCTCACCAACACCATTGGGACTAAGGGAAACTTGAAAGTGGCATCCAAAAACAGTACCAGAGGTATACGGGCCCAGGACCTCGCCCTCGCACCTGACGAGGCAAAGCGCTACAAGCCCACAGGCGCCTAGACTCGGACGGGGCATTCGCGGAAAAGGCAGGCATCCTGTCGCCTGCGGCACTCGGTCCTGCCTATCTTCTGCGAGCCCCAGCACGAGCCCCGGATCATTGAGCAATGGCCCGGAGCTCGTCAGGCTGCTCTCCCCCGCGAGGGCGCGATCGACCTGAATCCATCTCCTCGGGCTTCGAATATCATGGGCGATCTGACGTTCGGGAAGGCCTTCGGCGTCTTGAATGATCTTGAGCTGGAGAACCCTGTATTCCAGCAGCGCCAGCAATACAACAGTTCGTCGGGGTCGTTGTGGGCATCCCGTGGGTATACATACTCTTCGGAAAGCAGGCCTGTCGTCCGCGCGGGCGAGGCGCAAGGAGAGACGCATTACACCCCACCACTGTGCTCACCGCTCCAACAGTCAATGAGGAAACGCGCACAGAAGGAGGAAAGCCTGCCCGACATCCAAGGCGCCGGGGCATCGGGATTGGTTTACGACGGATGCGGCGCCGTTGAGGGCGGTACTTGGTAAGAGGGCAGGGTATGAGCGTTGCGGGCGTATCAGGTATGTGACGGAGGTCCTTCGTATCTATACTGCGAGCATAGTACGAGTGCCAAACCATGGAGCGGATGACATAACGTTCTGGCAGCGGTCTGAACGTCTTTGGCCTCCTGAGTAGGATCCGAGGAAGGGCAGACAAGCTCTGCTCGGTTGACATGGTTATCTTGGGATTCCTCGGTGCATGACAACTAACCTTCGCTCTTGGGAAAGCAGAGTCGGTATAGCACACTCGCAGAAGCAAGCACCACATTTTGGGCAGATGGCATAGGGACGGCCTCATGTGCTCGGCCTCCGTTCCTCGCCTCCGGGACGCGTTGCAGGGGCGACAGACTTTGCAATACCCTGGCCCGGAGTTGGTGCGGGAAGTACGGTATCGAGTCGCGACACGCATATATAGACTTCCGGTAGCTCGAGCTGGATAAGAACTCTCTACTTGAGCTGCAGAAGACAAGGGGGACGATCCGCTCATCCCAAGGACGTTGGCCACGGCTACAGTCGCCTCTCGTGCACTTAATACATTCACGAAAGTGACTCGCGCAATTGCAAATGCTGGCAGCGAATCATCCTGCCGTGACAAAAGCTCCCGATACAGTCGTTTGCATATGAAACCGAAAATCGGGTTTCCGTGAGCATTGTTTGTTCGAGCCAAATATACCCATATGCAGTAATGCGAGATGGCTTCTTGTGACTGCGTGACTGTCAGATAGCATTCATCGACGTCTCGAACTTGAAGTATCGACTGGCTGGTACCATGGTTCACCTCACTCGACAACTACGTGAACGTATCATTGTCTGGCGCCATGAGCAAAACAAGACACTCTGAGTGATTTCTGAGCTTGCGGGATGCAGCATAAGCACAGTCTTCGAAGTTCTCCGACTCTACTAGTACACGGAATACGGCACAGTCATCAACCCGAATGCTAGACCTCGAGGCCGGCCGCGCACTCTGGACATGCAGGATATGAACTTCGTGCGATCAGTAATTGAGGGAGAGCCTGCTATCTACCTTGATGAGCTACGAGATCG